CAATGCCAGCTTTTAGATGGCTATTGCTCGCCCGACAAACTGCCGGTTCAAATTAGAAATTCGAAATTACTACCTGGATCCGTTGTTTAGACACCTTGTTTTATGATCGGAGTTCCTGTCATGGGACTTTATAAAGTTATCCGAGCCACTGTCGAGCGTGAATTCACCTGACAGTCGTGCTTTTCGGCGTCGTCTTGCCTACTGCTCATCAGCTAGGACCCTGTTTTCCAGGTTGAGCTTGCCATCTACTGGTCGCTTAAGTTGTCTTATTGTCCACATTCCGCCTTTAGAACGTTTTATTCATATCTTGATTTTTTCCAGTATGCTCGCCGATAGATGACCTGCAGGTGGAATTTGCATGCAGTTCAGGGAACCCTTATTTGATTCCGTCTTAATTACTACCGAACTTACGAATATTACTTTTTTGTATGTGTATATTGAAGGGTTACAGGCAGAGCCCTTGATGACCCTAATTATGTACAGTGCTTTCGCAGATTCATATTCAAAAATAAAATAAAATTTAAGGCATTTAAAATGTGATTGGGTCACAGTTCAATCACATTTTAAATGCCTTAAATTTTATTTTATTTTACTTTTTGGTGATAACCAGTCAATTCCCTGGCATTCCCTAAACCCCAAAATACTACTTAAGACGTCAATTACAACCTGTCTTCGTTATCCATCTATAAACAGATACAACTGACAGTAACCCAGCCCCAAGAGTCTATCAACAAAGATGCCTGAGGCTGGAATGCCAATCTCGGGTTTTCATGCCTTAGTCGGCCAATCGCATCCCAGCTCCAGGTTAGACAGACCTGAGATCTGAAGTTAGGCCACTATCCTATCATTGAGCTGCGAGTGCAAGCGCCGTCGGTTGTGATCTAAAATGCTTAAAGTGGACAAAAAACAGACGTTTCTGGTTAAAGAATTGTGTCACCGTAGTACGGGGACCGAAGTATCTCCGTCTGATCATGACTTTAGATGGGCTTTGAGGAGCTGTCCCAGGCGGTCATGCTTTCCGCAATAAACCCCTTAAGTTCTGACTGCTCACTTCTCCGCATCATGGTCCGCAAATGCTATGAATCAAACCGGAACGCCAGTATAATGCGATCGAGCCAGATTGCTACATCCCAACACGAAGTTGCACAGCACTTTCTATCGAGTAGACTGCATACTGCAGGACATGCTAGTATGATAAGTTTATATTATAACGGCGGGGGGACAGGTGTATGTCCAGTTTCATGAGATGACCGACAGGTTCAGACAGTCGACTGTTGCATTGGAGAGGCAGGAGGTAGCTCAGCCGACACTGAGGACAAATCAGAGCATTCTTCACTATGATGAACGTAACGCGTCTGGATCTACCGCGGCGAACCAATAGCCACTACTTGAAGGGTTGCCAACTGAGGGGATGGCTCTGCCCTTCTTAGGACCACAGATCAGACTGCGTTGGCTCACACTTTCCGTGGCCCTTATGAGACTTTCACGCAACAGATCTAGAAGCCCTAATAGCAAAGCGAGTTCGTTGCAAGTTCATAACGAGGGCACAAATAAGCGCTCCCTAGCTCCTTTCGAGCTCTGGTTTGGCCAGTCGACCAAGCTCGATGCGCCCTCACTTTTGCGCCCTCTTAACGCGCTCGTAATTTCGTGACAGCGGACTCGTTCCGTGCTCATTATGAGCTCGAAAATACGAGATTGCCAATGAAAAGTAGACGGGGGTTTTTACCGTCCTGATATCCGCCCACCCCCATCCAGTTGCAGTTCACCCCTAGATTCTTTCTGAGATAATAACAATTCAAACTACTTATAGAAATGTTATTTATCAAAAATAGAAAAAAAAATTGTTCAAATCTCCTATGGCTATTCGTGGTTTTTGTCATTCGGCGTTCTATCAAGATCTTCAGCCGGTGGGGTATTTGAAAGGAAGGTAACGTAGAACAGTAAGTACATGCATTGGCGTTTAGGTTCAACATTAAAATCAATTAAGCACACAATTTAATCCCTCAAGTATTTATTACAGTTCTGCAGTCCGCTTGTTGATGCTTTATTGCATCTGCGTTGTTGCCTGTCATGAGCCCGTTTGAAGACGTTCTTAAATGCGTCTTCCAGCTTTTGTCTATCGGACACGTGACTTGCACACCATTTATTGAAGACGTCTGAGAGGGAAAAGGTTAATGCACATAAAATATAAGTCTTACCGAGGATCAGGTCGTAAATTGGAGACCCAAAAAAATCCGTCACATCCTCCGTGAAGAGTGTGGAGAAAATACGACCAGCAAATGCTGACGTATTCTGCCCACCTGTCCCGGACAGGTAACATATCTATGCGAAGTGTTTATGTATAATAAATAAGTTACCAGTCGACGTCTCCATTGCCCGTCTGTCGACGCCGCACACAGTCGGTCGTAGGCGACCAGTGGCCATACTGGCCCTTCCTCGACTGATAGCGGTGTGGAGGCGGCTACAAGACATCTGACCTGTGCTTCTAACCTGTCGACTTTACTGCACAGGTCAGTGACTAGCCCCCACTACAGAGGTACTGGTGCATTTTGTGGGAGTCAGGTCATGTGTGGCAGGCGTAGATGGACTGTTCGGATTGGTCAGCCACCGCGCCCGAGCCTACAAGGTGGCTGAGGGGAGAAAGAGTGCAATAGCTCCTGTGAAGGTTTGCCTCTCCCAGGCGTAAAGCACCGTCCCCCGGTTCACTCCAAGAACGTCGCCGGTGGACGTCGCCGGTTAAATTGTCGAATGTCTTGTCCATGTTGACAACTGGCGGGTAACCACAGTGTGTACCTTAACCACGTCGAAAACCATCAGCGAAAGACCTCGCTTGGATGCTTAAGATCGTCCGGGCTTGTGAGTCTGTTAGGGGTTTGCAGGAACGGAGTACAGCATTCTACTGGCCCTCGGCAGTCGCCCACCATTGTCCCGTTCCACGCGGACTGTGGCTGACTGTAGTGGTCAAATAAATCACAACGGTCTCCTCGTCTTTGTCAACGAACCTTGCCAACTGCCGTGTGCGC